ACCACTACCACTACCACTACCAAAACCACTGCTGCTACTACGATGAGAACAACTACTGCAACTATTATAGTCTCTAGTATATGAGTACTAATACTCGTACTAATACGAATGTTAGTACTACTGGTGCTACTGCTATGACTACTACCACCGCTATACTGGGACTACCACGACCGCCCCTGTTCGTTCTTGCAAGTGATGCTGCTGAGTGATTTGGCGTCAGCTGCACCCCAGCTGAGGTCCAGTTTTTGTCAGTCGGAATCGTCGTCATAGAGGGGGATGTAGTAAGTCAGTAGTTTAGCAGAGCGGAGGAGGACGATGAGAATGGTCAGCAGCACGAACGCCAGCACAGGCAGAAAACTTCTAGGTGCGGGTATTGGATGACGACGACAACAGCGACAGCGACGACGACCACGACGATCACGTGGACTGATACCGCCTCCAAACGACGACTTGCTTTCATCGGTTGGGTCTTTCCAAAATCAGCGTCTTCTTGCTCGGAGGGATCGACGCGTCTACGGGCATCCGTCTGGAAGAGTTTTGCCGTAGTACTCCACCGTACATTCGTCACATGCTCAGACATCATCCTAGCATCGCAGGCTTTAAACTTCAAATGTAATCCAGCACTGCATTGACATTGTCAGGACCTTCGCGTCTCTAGACGGGTCGAAGCAGACTCTTTGCCGGCTGTGGAGGCCTCTGGTGTTTCTGGAGCTTTGCAAGGATTGATCCTAGGCCCTAGAATCGATTGGGTCTGTTCTTGGTGGATTGAGTGAGTGCTTGCTTTTGTTTCCAGTAAGGCTTGGCTTAGCTTGTGCCAGCCATGGTGGCAGTTTGCGATTTCTGCCAGGACGGAGATTCATCCTCCGATGCAGTGGATGAGGAGGTCGGCAGTTGCCCAACTGTGCTGAACACCTCGGAACGAAGGGAGTTGCCTTCCATCGGCTTGCATGAGCTGTGCCTCGTGCACAGCCCACAATCCCAGAACGCGTAGATTGCCGACTTCGCAGGGTGGCCTTGCGAGCCAGCAACCGTCGCAGCCAGGGAAGATGGTGAAGAAGGCCGGGTCCTAGAGCCTCGTCAGCTTGCATCATTCGCAGCAAAAGACTCCCCTCGGCGCAAAAACATCCAGTCTTGCAGAGTCTTGCAGGACTGAGTCCTGCAGAGGCAGCGCCTCGCAGAGCCGTTGCTGTGCCGCTGAGGTCTCCTTCGACCTCGGAGCGCAAAGACGGAGTTCGTGTGCCCTTGACCGCGGGGCACAGATGTTTTTTGTGGGGCTTAAGGTTCGGAGTTCGGAGCTGACAACCCTCAGTTGGACTCTGTACGATACTTGGACAGTTGCCACAAGTGCCCAGTATCGTCCTTCTCACATTATTGTCTGTTCATGGCAGCCATCAGCGGTCTTCCCGGACTGCTGCTTCCTCCAAGCAGGGGCATCCAATTTAGCCAGGTGCAACCGGAGAGGTACAAGTAACACCTGTCCCAGGTGCTGGCTGACATGTCGTGTTCCGCAGCTACTGATCCTGGTGCTCAGCGCTTCTCCAGCCTTGGTCATTCGAGGGCACGATCGAAGCACGAGATCGCTTTCTGAGATGACTACACAGGGCATTGTGCCTTGTATGCTCTCAAGAAAGCGAAGGACGTTGTGCCTGCCTGATGCATGGAATCTGAAAAAGGGGTCATTGCTAGACTGCGCGTCTCGCGGCCTTCCGTTAGGAAACGTTGTTGTCGGATGACGTACAAGGCTTATTATGGTATGCAGAAAAACTTACTATTGTTTGGCCTGTCAGATTCCATCGCTTGAAGTTTGAAGCTGACAGGCATCGTCGCAGCTCAGCATGAAAAAGTGGCGCAACCTCCGCCTGGCTTAAGCTGATGTTCCAGCACCCCGGAAACACTGCTTCGGTTCGACAAGACATGAAAGTACGAACGAAACATTTGAGATCAAGCAATAACGGGCTGCAATCTGGACGTGGTGCTGGTGCCCGTCACTCTCGCCCTGAAAGCAGACCAGACCCTTTGATTTTTGGTGTTTGCGTGCCCTTGCGGGCGTGTGGCATAACTACTTGGTACCAAAGTCATTGCATCATCAAGTCCTGACCATCCTCGTCGTCGTCATCATCATCATCATCAGCATCAGCATCGTCATCCTGATCACCAAAATGGTTTTCATTTGCGGCTCTCTGTTCGTATGCATGCACAGAATGCACGCATGCAAACACACGTGCATACCTACATACTTACCGACATACCTACCTATACACCTGCCCACCTACCCACCTACCCACCCACCCACCCGCCCGTCCGCCCACCGACCGACCGACCAACCCGTCTACCGAACTACCGATCTACCTACCTCCCTCCCTCCCTCCCTCCCTACCTAGCTACCTACCTACCTACCTACCTACCTAAGGCAGTGCTGAAGAAAAGAGGGCAGGAAGGAAGGAAGGAAGGAAGGAGGG